GTAACTAGTGACTTTGACTAGGCTGGTAGCATTGGAGGCACTGAAAAGTGATAGATTCTAAGTGCATTATGAAGCTGTAAATTGGGATGTGAGAGAAATTTTTGGTCTGAGCAGCTGGAGGATGGAGTTGCTATTACCTGGAAAGGAGAACGCTCTGAGTAAAGTGGTTTGGGCAGGTTAAATTTGATATATCTTATTTTAAATTTAATTTATTTTTTATTTATTTTATGGATGAGAGAGAGGGAAAGAAAGGGAGAGACTGACTCGACAAGGTCTTGCCATGCTGCATTTCAGCCAGCCAGGATCATGGATGTCCCCACAGGTTCACCCTACATGCCCAGGTCAACCCAGGATCCAAACCCTGGGCCTTCCCATATGGCTCCAGCATAACAGTACAGCACCCTACCACTGAGCCCATGCTGCTGCAGCTGGGTCTCATATGTCTTTTTTAATGGTCTAAACAGAATTGTGGAGTGGATTGTAGGCTATAGGAATTCAAGAAAGTTCAAGATAGATAGTCAAACTGAAAACATAAATTTTGGAGTTTTTGGCATCAATGTGGTATTTTAAGTCAACGGGACTATGAAATTGCCAAAAGAGGGAATATAGATAAAAGAAGTTCAAAGAGAGAACCTATTACAGGCTGAAAGAACCAATAAAAGAGATTAAGAAGGAACAGGTAGTTAGGAAGGGAATGAACATAGAGTGTGGTATTCTAGAAGCCAAGGAAAGTTTTTAAGAAAGGAGAAATTAACTGTATTAAATGTTGCTGACAGATCAAATTAAATGAGTACTCAGGATTGACCATTAGATTTAATGTGTGGAAGTCGTTAGAGACCTTGGCAAAGGTTTGGTGGAGTAGTTGTAGCGAAAGCCTGCTTGCAGTAAGTTTAGGTGAGAATTGCAAACTGAGTAAAGACAATTCTTCTAAGTTAGGCTGTAAAGGTCTGCAGAGAATTGGGGTGGTGATCTGAGAGTGAGTGGGGGAAAAAGGGAGGTTAAGATGAGAGTAATAGCGATATATATGTGTGTGTGTGTGTGTGTACATATATATATACATATATATGTATATATATTTTTTGGGGGGGTGGCTATAGGGGGTGTACACTTGCCAGAAAGACAGAGAGAGAGAGACAGAAAGCGAGAAATCACTCCCCAGGGCGGTTCCCTCTCAGGATCTGGGCATGCATGCACACGTGCCCAGTGTGAGTTTAAGTCACTGAGTCTGGGACTCGAGCCGCGGTTGACTACATGGGAGTCCAATGACATAGCCATTACGCCAACTGCTGGTCTCCTATAACGATATATTTTTAATGATGATGAGAATGACACAGTGGAAAAGAAAAAGTCAATGAGGTAAATGAGAGAATTGCTGGAATGATGCTTTTGAGGAGGCAGGAAAGCATAGAATCCAGTATACAGATCCATATCTAAGTAAGACAGACTTCACCTTGGGTAGGAAACCAGACAATTCTTTTTTTTTTTCTAGCTCCATAATATTCATCAATACATCCTAAGTGGTCATAAAGATCATTTTACACAAGAAAGTTTGGGGAAAATAGAGTTGAACTGAGGCTAGATCTATCCATTGGGTCAAACAACTTCTCTGTTAAAGATGGGTCATCACTGAGTTAGTTATATGATATGTGAATTATATTTCAATAAAGCCATTACCAACAAAACAAAAGGATAGCAGATAGAGTGTGCAGGTGCAAATTTCCTGCCTGGTAATTCATTAGGGGATGAGATTAGATAATATCTTTTGGCTATAAACTGCTAGCCCTCCAATGATCAGATCTTCAAGAAAAGCAAAAGCTGGCCAGCAGCAGGTAAATTGATGCCCAAATGTTTCTGGATTGGGACTAGAAACTGTCAGACACTTGGCAGCCTGCACATCTTGGCAAGGGTGTCACTGACCATGTTGAGATCATGCCACAGCTCATTGATGGCGCTGGTTATGCCCCTGGTGTCTTTCAGAATTGAGTACTCCATGTATGTGTTATACTTCATTTCAAATGGATACTTAATTGTTTTGGTAAATTCTCTCATCTTTACATCCTCACAGTTTTCCAATACAAAGCAGACATCATGGAAGGTTGTGATGAATCACTCCTGCTTGCTGGTGATCTTGGGATCCTAGGGCATTACTTTGGCATGATCAGAAAGTGCATGTTTGAGCTCACTGATAGATTAAAGTAATCTGACACCAAAGACTCTGTGTTGCTCATCTTGTTTAAATAGACCAAGCTCCACAGTGAAAAAGTAGTATGTTGCCAGTTTTTGAACAGCCTCCTCTGAAGCTCCAAGGGAAGCTAGGCCAATTCTTGGGAGAATTGAGCAAAGCTAGGTTCAGCCAAAATAGGAACATGACCTAAGAGTTCAGGACATGTATCTGGCTCTGGGATATAGAGAGGATCTGAATTGTGTCTCATGTACTGAGTGCAGTGAAAAGTTCAAAAGGCTAAACCTGAAAAGAAATATCTTGGTCATAGGTAACTAGCCACAGGAGGGATGGAAAAACCTGTACACTCTTAAAAAGTTTGAGACATATTCCAATTGTAGGATATTATCTTCCTGATAGCCACAATATTTAGAAAGCAAAGGTAGATTTTTGAGATATTCTTTATAAGTGCAGGTTGGGTAGAGTTTGTTGAGGTCTCAGAAGACAGACAGTTCCCCAGGTCTTAAATCTCCTTGTCAGTGAATTCTACCCTAGGGATGGGTTCTCTATGTTTCTAGTTCATAGCCACATCTGCAAAATACTTTTGTCTTTTATGATAGACATTGTCTTTGAATCCAGAATGGTACACATCTAGTTCAGATCCATACATCAGAACTCTGTTGGCACAATGACCTAGGTCGGAAATTTTCTTTAGAAACCAAGGAACAGTTTCCATACCATCTTTCTTCAAAGTAAAATTATCTGGTGTATTCACAGAGAGAACGTTAACGTCACATGAAACATATCACTCAGTTGTTCTCTGTTGATAACACAGTCAACAAAAATCTCAAATGCTTAGTTTCTCCTTGCCTTTTCAGGACTCAATATGTAACAGGTTGACATGCTTCTGGAAGTTTTTCAGTGCTTTTATAAATCCTCCAACTTCATTCTTTAAGGAAAAAAAGAGTGATCTTTCTTCTCCTTGTCTTCAATCATGATGAATTTGGTGTCCTTCTCTCGGACTCCCCTAGTGGTAAACCTGGATCTCCAGACAATTCATTTATAACAACAGGAGAGAAGACACATACAATAGTAGATAGGTAATTGTAATAGAAGTTTTTGAAACAGTGCTCTACAGATGGGTTCAGTGTTCTCAGAGAGGAATTATCAACTAATCAAGAGGAGTAACCCAGGGGTTGATAGTTGACAAGAATAATGAGGGATGGGGTAATAGAGTCTAATGACATTGTATTTAAGGCTGAGAAGTTTTAGGGAGCAGAGAGAATGAAGGGGGTGCTGAGCTATAGGAGGATACTGGAGAAAAAAACATTCCTACCTGACAGGACTGCAGGAAAATCCGTGTCCTGGGGGCGTGTCTGGTTCTAGAAGGTGCAGGGAACATGCAGAGAGGAGATTGAGATTGTAGAGGTTTTGCTGGTGATGGATTGTGAGTTCCAAGGGAATTCAATAGTTGGCCAAGAGTAAGATATGAACACTATATTCATTTCCTGTGGCTACTGTAACAAATTATTAATATCACAAATGAGGTCGTTTAAAATGACAAAACATTGTTTTTTCACAGTGCTGGAGGCCAGAAGTCCAAATTCAGTATCACTGAGCAGAAGTCAAGGTGTCTGCAGGCAGCACTCCCTCTGGAGGTCTTGGGGGAATCTTTTCCTTGCATCTTCCAGCTTCTGGTGGCTGCCAGCAATCCTTGGCTTGGTACTGCACCACTTTAATCTCTGTGCAGACACTAGTGATGCTATGTAGAGACTACCCAGGTGATCCAGGACAGTCTCCCCATTACAAAATCCTCAGTTTAATCAAATCCACAAAGACCTCTTTTCTACATAAGATTTAGAATTACAGGACCTTGTATCTTTGGTGGGGGGCATTTTTCAGCCTACCTCAGGACCAACTGAGGGATGTGCAGAGCTGGAGGGGATTTAGAGTAAGATGAGAGTGACCTACAAGTCTTGTCTGATTGACATAAAGAGCATAGTAAAATTAGTCCTGTGGTCTCCAGGCAAGTAGTGATGAAGAGGCTGAATGTTGGAATTTAGATAGGCACAAGTGAGAGGTTTTTCTAGATTTCTGCAGTGGGAAGCAAGGAGAATCAGGGAGGAAATAGTCTTTGGGAGGTTGATCTTACCCAAGCACATGATGCATCATCAACCACACGTTCTCAGTACAGTTTTTTCCAATCTTTTCCTCTAGAGGAAATTATTTCTTCTAAGCATCGTGTGCTATAGCCATTATTCTTATCTTATTGTAATGTCATGATATCTTTATCTTCTTGAATGCTTCTCTTTCTTCAAAAATCAAATAAAAAAATAAGTGCCATTAGTTTTGTTTTCGTAACAGGCCATAAACATATAGACAAATTTAAGATTTCCTGCCTATTCATTCCTTTATACCCTGCTCCCTTGGATTAGGTGTATCTCTTCCATACTTCCATTGAATTCCACATGTATCTCTAAGGTTACATTTCTTACATGATACCAAACCAGTGTCTATACCCATGTTGGACCATGCATTTCATAAAAGTAGGAAACACATACTGTTATCGGTCCCCAGTGTTGTGCCTTAGTGGCTGGCACATAGATGTAATTAAGTTTGAATGAGAAAATAAAAGTCATTTACCTTTTTGGATTCTACATTAAACCACTTTGATTATATTTATGTTTTCAGATTACATGCAGAAGGTTTTTGTAAATATTTAATGTACAAAGAAAGAATGTTGTTAAGTCATAATGGTTAGTTTTTAGTGTGTGTATCAGTTACCCTTTTTTCTTTTATTAATCAATGCTGGAATTTCTTTCTTTTTCATTTGCTTCAGTGATGGAGGGCCCAGTAATGGAAACTGGCACACTTTTTACCTCAGGAATTAAGAGACAAGTGAAAGACAAAAGAATTTCAAAGACTGCCAAATTGAATGTTTCTCTTGCTTCAAAAATCAAATCAAAAATAATAAGTAAGTGCCATAAGTTTTGTTTAAATAATTATTTATTTAATTTTATCATTATTATTATTAATATTATTTTTAATTTGCTACAGGGCACGTGTGTTCATCAGAGAAAGAGATGAAAGTGAGAAAACAAGCCTCCATGTCTGGGACTCAATCTGTTACCCACCATGTGGGGAGTCCAGCACCTTAACCACCATACCACCTGCTAGCTCCAATATCATTGGTTTTAAAGTATAGGTTGAGCATCTCTAATCCAAAAATCCTAAATTCACAATGTTCCAAAATCTGCACCATTTTGAGTGCTGTCATGACACCACAACTGGCAAATTCCACATTGTGTCAGAATTCCATGTAACAAATCATAATCCAAGCTGTGCAATAAAACAGTTTTCTGTAAAATTACCTTCAGGTCATATGCATAAGATGTATATGAAACATAAATAAATTTTGTGTTTAGATTTGGGTCCATCAACATTTCTCATTGAAATGAGAAATGTTTTTCTCTTTTGAAATATTCATGTAAGTATTTCAAAATTTCAGAAAATCCCGATTCTGAAATACTTCTGTTCCCAAGCATTTTGGATGTGGGAGCCTCAAGTTGTATACTCACAATTTTTATTTGCTGTCATGTTTTATCAAGTGCAGGAAATTACTGAAATGAGTATTTTGTTAACTGATATATTTTTTTCCCCATTTGATCCTTCCTATTAGTTGGATGGTTTCAATGATTTGCATTCTGTAGTGACAGCTGAATTTTCAGCAGCAAGGCTGGTGTGGCCAAAGAGAGCTATTTCCTACACTGTAAGGAAATACTAATGTGACTTTTCTGGAAAAGAACTTTATTTATTTTATAAAAAATTATTTATTTTACATTCATTCACTGTCCATCATCATTCTGGAAAAGCTTAGCAACTAGATGAGAGGTAGCCAAGAGGTGGCCTAGGTAGCATACCATAGTGGATGACTTTTTATGGATACTGATTGTCAAGAGAGCCCTCAGCACTTTGGAAAAGGGATTTCATGACCTGCAGAGACACAGTGCCTGAAGGCAAAAAAAGGAGGTGGGAAAACCCTACTAGATAAATTTTCATTACTTCTGAAAAGTATCTTAATGGTTCATACCTCTGTTAGCAGGAGTTCAGGAAGTATCCTTGTAGTCACATTTCTTGCTGATATTTAGGGGCCTTCAAATTTTTTTTGAAAAGTAGAATTAATGTACAAGTTTATTTTGGTAGGAAAAAAATTTTAAATCCATGCAGAGTTGAAAAAAATATATATATATATATACTTTTTTCCATGAACATTTTGAAGAACTTCCCCTTTTATAGCTTCTATGAAGGATAATTGTGTGTGCCTTGTGAAATACCATACCTCTTAAATAACTTAATTAATTGTTGCTAGAGGATTTGTGTGCTCATCAGAGAGAGAGAGAAGAAGAAAAAGAAAGCACTTCCAATGGTACATGGCACACCACTATCCCATCTCCATTTCTCCATTTTGTTGGGATTTTGGGCACATGCACACATGTGCGTGGTATGTTATTCAAGGGTCAAGGGCCAGGACTTGAACCACTGTTAGCCATGTGAGATCCATCTCCCTTAACCACTAGGCTATAAGGCTGACACACCTAAGTATTTTAAAATCTCAATGTTGTTCCTATCTAGGTCTCTAAGGCCACATTGTGTATTCAGCAGTTGTTTCTCTCTTTGGCTGAGCTGTTGCTCACCCTCTGGAATAAAGGAATATGTTGAGTTAGGGAAGTATAATGGGAACTGGTATAAGGGAATATGTTGAGTTAGGGAAGTATAATGGGATGATAATTACTCTTCAGCTTCTGGAAATCCTAAATTGGTTCTATTTCTTTTTGTTAGGCTAAGGATGGCTATCTGTAGCTACTCTCTGTGCAATTGATAAAGTACTTCTTCAGACCCTGTGGTTTAGATTCCTAAACTCTCTCTGAATACTTCAAAAAGTCATTAAATTTTCTGAGACTTATTATACGTACATTATACTTTTATTTAGTGGAATATGTTATTGAATAGTGAGATATAAATCAAAATTATGAGATGTAATTAAATTCTAAGTGTACTAAGGGAACACTATATTTAACGTGAGCTTTACCAAGGAATTCACAATGAAATTTCTTTGTGACCAACAAAGAAATTCATCTCAGAAGTGATTTACATCATATTTACATAGTGCTTTTAAAGAGAAGAGATCAAGTTTAGATTGTAATAGATGCCTAGAAATAAGAGAGAAGATCCTTTGGAGGGAGGTAGACTGTCTCACAGTATGCCTCCTCACTCCAGAATGGGTTTTGGGAGCACTGATTAAATTATTCAGTTCTGGAGCCACAGAGACTAGCTTTAAATTTTCACTGATTGGTTACCCAAATTCCTATGGGACATCTCTAGTTAGAAGTGCAAGATCAGCTTTTCTGTTCTAGCTCCTAGTTAAAAGTAGGGCTATAAGTACCAAGATTTAGTTTTTGTGACCGATTTAATTACTTCAAATACTGTGTCTATCCTTCTTTAACTCTTTTTACATATATTCCATTAGGTCATCAGGAAAGTCATGACATATTTTTCTATGAAATTTCTATTTTACATGCCTTACCAAATGCATTCCTCATGACTCTTATTCTTCATTTTCTATCTAGCTTTAATTTCTTCAGCTGCAAACTCTGGGTATATATTTTTTTCAAAACATTTGTATTATCATTCTCTTCTAATCTTTAGTTAAAACTTACAAAGTAGGGACCAGCAGATGGTGTAACGGTTACATCATGGAGGATTCCGACGTAATCAACAGCAGTTCTAGTCCCGGACCCAGTGGCTTAAAACTCACGCAGGGCACGTGTGCGCACATGCCTCAAATCCTGAGAGGATAATGGAGGAGAAGAGATTGCAGTGTGGCCACCCCCTTGGGGGGTGATTTCTTGCTCTCTGTTTCTCTGTCTCTGGTGAGCTCATGCACCCAATAGCAAAGAGCTCTCTTAAAAACAAAAAAACTTACAAAGCGAGATACATTTTGTCTAAAATAAGTTTACTAAGGAATGGGAAAATTTATTAAGGTGTAAGTTTAATATTAACTCTTGAAAATTTTTTTTTTTACAGACAATTCTTCTATTTTCAAAATTTCTTTAAAGCACAACAACAGGGCATTAGCTCAGGCTCTTAGTAGAGAGAGAGAGAATTCTCGAAGAATTACAACAGAAAAGATGTTGCTGCAAAAAGAAGTAGAGAAACTGAATTTTGAGAACACATTTCTTCGCCTGAAGCTAAATAACTTGGTATGGCAGCTATGCTGTTTTTGAATTCTAAATTATAACTTAAATCTTTTAATTACATTGTTATAAGAACTCTAAAAATGTTCAGATCTTCAGTTGTGATCAATTTTTTTTTTTTTTTTGAGAGGTTTTTGCTAAAGGGTGTGTGCGCTCACCAGAGAGACAGAAAGCAAGAAATCATCCCCCCCCGGGGGGATGGTCATGCCTCATTCTCTTTTCCTCCATTCTCCTCTCAGGATCTTGGGCATGCATGCACACGCACCCAGCGTGAGTTTAAGCTATCAGATTCAGGACTTGAACCACGGTCGACTACATGGGAGTCCAGCAATATAGCCATTACGCCAACTTCTGGTCCCATGATAAATTTTTGAGTCAGTATGCTGTGTAAATATTAAGGGATAAGTTGTTAATGGGTAATAAAATAGGTGTCTTCAGTCTACAGTCCAAATGTGCCTGCTGTGTAAACCAGTGCAATGCATTGTTCAACATTTGGTTACTTATCTTAAGCCAACTTGCTGCATTAATTAATTTTTAAATGATGGTTATAAGTCTGCTAGTGAATTAAAGGAGCGGAGTTCCCAGAGTTTGTATTCTTTAATTCCAGCATTTCACTGGTTATAAGCCAAATAGAATGACAATTGCAGTTGTTCTTTTTCCTTCTAACTTTTAACTCTTCCTGCAAGACAAGGAAGTGAGAGACAATAATTATCTAGGCTTAACTATAAATCTAAAATGAGTAGAAAGTGAAGTGGAAAAATTATCTACTATACTTTAGGGTTAAATTCCTGTGGCCAACAAACTATGTTCACCTGTCATGTGATATATTATTATAAGAAAATAGAAAAATGTTTGTAGGAAAATTTATAATTGTTAAAGGCATTCAGTGCATGTTGTAGGGGGAGGATACTATTTGGACTATACAGTACAGCACCTTTTTAGCTCAGTGTAATCTCAGCTATGTTCTAAATCTTCTCACACTGATGATATTCATAAACTTGTGGTTTTTTAAATAAACTCCAAATCTTGACTGACTAAAGGAGGTCTTTATTTTACATCTACAGAATAAGAAGCTTATAGAAATAAAAGCATTCACAAATAATAACTTGAAGGCCGCAATTGAAATGAGCAGTCTTTCTGAGGTAAGTGAAATTTAAGTGTAAATAGTGTTATTTTTTAGCATTACTGGATAATTGATATTAGTTAAGTAGCCTCACGGTTTAGAGATTCATATTTCCATTTTTGTGCAAAAGAATGATGATAATATCAATTTTAACTGTTTAATGCACATTATCATTTTGCACATTTTTGTGCAAAGGAATGATGATAATACCAGTTTTAACTGTTTAATGCACATTATCATTTTGCATACTTTATTGTTAACATTATTATGTAAAAATTAGGTTTTGATTAAAAGTAACAAGATTAGACAGCCCAGTGGAAAGTAATGGAGCCTAAACAAACTGAAAAAGCAGAATGCCATTAGTAGAAACATAACATTTTGAACTGGCTATGTAGTGTGGTTAAGTGCTATAAAGTCTTGAAAAATGTACCAGGCACATATAAGCATGCTTCCAGTATTCTGATCAGATGGAAAGTAAGAGGGAAAAGGATTGCATTGTGACAGGCCATCATGGGGGTTGTTTCTCTTTCTCATTCGTGTACTCTCTGGCATAAAAGGGGGAAAAAAAGGAGAAAACAGTGACAAAGGTAGCATTTCAAATTAGGAAGGAATTTGTACTATTTTAAACAAAGATGGATATAACTAGGAAAGCTAGTTGGGAAAAAAAATAGAGGCAGATCTTGCTTTACACCATTCTCTAAAATAAAATCTAGATGGATTTAAATGTAGTTTTAAAAAGAAATCATATAAAATGAGGAGAAAGTACAACTGAATTCAAATTAGATAAGCCAGGCCTTTCTATACCTAGAAGCAAAGACAAAGCCTATAAAGCAAGTTATTGATAGATTTTTCTCAGAAAAGAAATTTGCTATCTTTAAGTCTTACTGACTGGGAAGACACTCCCCGCTTCCGCCCCCCCTCCCCTCAGGCTAGCCAATTATTAGAGATAGCAAGAGCTCATCTAGTCCAGTCATTTCCCCTCTTGCTAGTCCTTACACTTGAGGAGGCGATATTCCTCTGCCCAAATCATCCCAGGGCCAGATACCAGGCAGTGAGGGACCTCTTTTTGTTTGGAGAGGTTTTTGTTATAGGGTGTGTGCACTCGCCAGAAAGGCAGAGACAGACAGTGAGAAATCACTCCCTGGGAGGATGGCCATGCCAAAGTTCCTTCTCCTCCATTCTCCTCTTGGGATTTTGAGCATGCATGTTCACGTGCCTGGTGTGAGTTTAAGCCACTGGGTCTGGAACTTGAACCACAGTCGACTACATGGGAGTCCAGTGACATAGCCATTATGCCAACTGCTGGCCCGAGGGACCTCTCTTATAGCTTAGAGTCTGCCAAAATTATCAAACTACTCAATCCTAAACTTTTGCCCTACTCTGCCTTGCCTTTCCCATGGAAATGCTAGTAAAGACTCTGGTCTAAACCTTCCCTTCATTCTTGTCTTCTGCCCCCTGACCATCCTGATACTTTTTTCTATGGTGTGTCGTGCCCCCTGTCTTCGGGACTGTGTGTATGTTAATAAATGCTGTTTTTACCCAAAATTTTTCCTTTATCTCCTCTTATTGGTTGCACCTGATTAACATCTCAAAAAAATATGAAACAGAATAAAATCTAGGCATGTCTTCCACTAACATCTATCCATTTCATTTATCTATGTGCCTGTTTTTATGCTAATACTACACTAAATTACTGTGGCTCTCCAACTTTACTCTTCTGTTTCACAGTTGTTTTACTATTCTAGATTGTTTTCATTTTCATTAGAATTTTAAAATCAGCTTATTAATTGGACCATACCTTGTTTCTATTATAAACCTCTGCAGTGTAATAGGAACACATGGTTGTATGTTGACTAATTTTCTGGTCTTTATTAAATAAGTAAAACATGTTCATGTCAGAAAACTTAGAAAATGCATTTGAGAGGACTTCAAAAACTTTGTAGAAAAATGGAATTGAAGTATGATTTTTGGTACCAAAAAAATTGAAATCTATGTATAATTTTTTGTAATATACGTTTTTCCATGAACATTTTAAAGTCCCTCTCATAGAAGCAAAAATATAAGAGATATTAAAATCACCCAGGCTTTTTGAGTTTTATTGTTTTTTTTAAATTTTTTTTTTCTTTTTAAATTTTTACCATAGGGCATGTGTGCTTGCCAGGGAGAGACCGAGAGGGGGTTAAAGGGGGTTGAGGAGTAAAAAAAGTCATCCTCAGGGAATGGCTATGTTGTAGTCCCTTCTCTATTATCCTTTGGGACTCTGGGCTTACATACATGCGCCTGGTGCGTTTTTATTTTATTTTATTTTATTTTATTTTTTTGGCCATTTGTTGTAGGACACATATACTTGCTGGAGAGAAAGAGACAATGAGTCAGAAAGTGAGAAATTACCCACCGGGAATGGTCACACCAACCATAGTCTTTTCCCTTCCATTCTCCTGCGATTTTGAGCATGCACCCACACATGCATGATTTTCACACTGCTGGGTTTGGGACTTGAAATGCAATCAGTCATGTGTGATTACTGCACCTTAACCACTGTGCCACCTGCCACCCCCCTAGTGTTTTTCAAGACTCTAGGTCCAGGATTTGAACCCGAGGAGTTGGCCATATGAGATCCAACACCTTAACTACCATACCACCTGCTGGCCCTAGGTTTTGAATTTTAAAAAGTCATTTAAAATATGTACTATGAAATACAATGATATATTACATAATATACATATAAACTATATTAATAATACATATGTAGACATGAATGTATTACATATATATATAAAGGTAGTGTTTATGTATGAGTATATTCATGTGATTTATCCCTGTGCATAGAAATGAAGGTTATGTACTACAATATTGGTAGCAGTTCTCTTTGGGTGGAGGAAGAAAAATGAACTTTATCATTATATTATCTCATTGAACGATTGAGGGCTAATGCAAGAATTATAGTACTGCTGGTATCCTTGTATAATTTCATACTTTAATAACAGACATGTTTTAATGAGATTAGAAAACCGTTACTTTCCATTTTCTTTTTTTTTTTTTTCCAAAAAATAGTTCCATCAGAGTCCCTTTCCACTTCCAACTAGCAATAAGAAATGGAGTAGCAAACAATGCCAGTTGATGCGTCTTCCATTTGCAAGGTAATTGTTTAAAAGTTGATTAAATATTAACTTGCATACTTCTACTTCAATTGGACTTTGAATAGTTTTGTTTTGTTTTGTAAATTTTATCAAAAGGGAACATGTATTTGCTGGAAAGCGAAAGAGAGGGAGAGAGGAGGGATGCACTCCTGGTAGGGCATGATCACACCACAGTCTTACTTTTCTGTTTTTCCACCCTGTCAGGAATTTGGGCACACATACATATGTGCCTGACTTGTTTCTCAAGCCACCAGGGCCAGATTCAAACTACACGGTCAGCTATGTGGAATCCGGCTCCTTAACCACAAAGCTTAGGCCTGGCCAGAATAGTTTTTATTTGGTCTGTTTCTTTGAAAGATAGAAAAACATTTAAAAATAAATAATTAAATACTTGGTTACATTATACCCATTAAAGAATTTAAATACAATCTAATAGAATTTAGTTTTAAATTCTAAAGTAACATTTAGCCTTCCCATAGACCCTGGAGCAAAAAGAGACACAAGTGCACTCTTAGTTACATGGGCTTGAGTTACACTGATTAAGAGTACATAGATTTTATATGACAAAGCGAGTGTTTGTGCACTTTGTACAGTGTTTAATATTCACCAACTTACATTTACCTAAGGTAATTAAAGATGTTTGTGGTGTCTTGCTATGGGTTGTGTCTCTAGGACATCAAGGAAATTTATCCCTCAATTCAATAACCAAGTGATCTGTAGTATCCTGCTACTTTTCATTTCTTTCTTTTCCTCCAGGTAACTACCCAGTTTTTGCTGGGTAAATCTAATAACTGTTTCTTCTTTTATTATCTTACATACTGCCCCAAGCTTTAAAATTAACTTTTGTCTTTGTTATTCTCCTTCTGTCCAAAATTCTCCTTTCTTGGTTATTTGATTATAAGCCTTATAAAGCACCCTATTTCAAACTTATCATTTAAAAAAGTAGTCATTGAGGCCTGTAGAGGTGAAATCACTCAATGAATTAATAGGATTGACCAAATCCTTTTCTTTTAGACCATGTTTATTCTCTTAAACAATTTACAAGTTTAATGCTTTTATTTAGGTGCACAAGCAAATGCATTTATGTACTGAAATATTGTAAGTATCATAGTAAAAAATATTTCACATCTACTATGTCACTTTCTATTTATTCTATGTTTGTTCCATTGATCTGCCTATGGGTACTATTACTAATTTATACCAAGTTTTTATATTGCTATAGTTTTCTTTTTAAGAATTATTTTATTCATTGTCATTATTATTATTATTTTTTAAGTTGACCAGAGGGAGACAAAGAGAAAAGGAAAGTGAGAAAGCAAACTGCCAATTCTGGGACTCGAACTGCAGTCAGCCAGTGGGAGTCCAGCTGCATTAACCACTATGCCACTTGCTGGCCCTAATTGTATAGTTTTATAATAGTCAATTTTGTTGTCTTAAATATCCATATGTTGACTATTGTTTCATATAGACATGCTAGTCAAGTGTCAACTTGTCCTCCAAAATTATTTTTTTATGGTGAACTTTTGTTTGAAGTATATTATATATATATTAAGATCATGACGAATTTTCACAAGGTGAACATTGTTGTACAACCAATGCCCAGAGCAAGACACAGGGCATTATCAGTATTTCAGATACTCTTTTGTGCCCCTTTCTAGTCACTAACCAAAACCCACCCAAGGATAAATATTGGGTTGTTGGGAACCTCATATTATCCTGAGTTCTGACATCATAGATGGATAGATTTTGCACACTTTTGAACTTCATATAATGAAATCATACAATATTTATAGTTTTTGTATCTTGTTTCTTTTGTTCAGCATTGTTGGTGAGATCCATATTGCTGCGTGTATTAATAGTTGTAAACCATTCTCATCTCTGTATAGTATTCCACTGATTGATGATACCACAGTGTATCTATTCTTATGGTGAATATTTCATTGTTTTTCCAGTTTTGCACTATTGCAAATAGAGGTACCATGTATATGCCTTTTTTTGGAGAGGTTTTTGCTCTAGGGCACATGCGCTGGCCAGAGAGACAAAGTGAGAAATCACCCCACGGCCATGCTGCAATCCCTTCTCCTCTGTTCTCTTCTCAGGATCCTGGGCACGCACGCACACGTGCCCAGCATGAGTTTAAGCCATTGTATCCGGGACTTGAACCATGGTCAACTACATGAGAATCCAGCAATGTAGCCATTGTGCCATCTGCTGGTCCCAGCCTTTTTTTTTTTTTTTTTTTAAGAAAAAGTGAGAAATCACCCTCCAAGGAGATAGTCATGCTACAATCCCTTCTCCATTCTCCTCTTAGGATTTTGGGCATGCACGCACAGGTGCCCAGTGTGTTTAAGCTTCTGGGTCTAGGACTCGAACTGTGGTCAACTATGGGAGTCCAGTGACATAACTATTATGCTATCTGCTGGTCCCTGTAAATGCCTGTATACACATACATTCCTAGGAGTAGTTACTGGATTTATTACATATATTTGGCTTTAGGAGAAACTGCCAAATTATTTTCAAAAAAGATAATACCAGTTTACATTCCTACCAGCAATATATGATTATTCCTTTTGTTCTACATCTTCAGCAACACTTGTTATTAGCTGTCATTTTCACCTTAACCATTTTGAAGATGTGTAGAGGTATTATATTGAGGTTTTGATTTCAATTTTCCTGATAACTAAAAAGTTAAACATCTGTTCATGTTTATTTTCTTTCTGTTGGTTGTCTGCCATTTTTTAAGGAGTTCTTTATATACCCTGTTCATAATAAATATCTTCTACTCTGTGGCTTATCTCTTCACTCACTTAACAAATGGTGTCTTTAGATGAATAGAAGGGGGTTTTTTGTTTGTTTTAAGAGAGGCTTTTACTAAAAGGATTCATGCACTTCCTGGAAAGACAGAGACAGAGAGACAGAAAGTGAGAAATCACCCCATGGGACATGGCTGCACCGCAATCTGTTCTCCTCCCTTCTCCTTTTGGGATCTTGGGCACATACACAAACACACGCCGGGCATGAGTTTAAGCTGCCCTATCTGGGATTCATACTGCAGTCGACTCTGTGGGAGTCCAGCGATGTAACCATTACACTCTCTGCTGGTCCAGTATATTCACATCTGTGTTATTGTTGTGTCATTTGAGATCTGACAATTCTAGCTTCATTCATTCAAAAAAAAAAAAAAAAAAATGCAATGTGGTTGAGTTTTGGATATTTTACAAGAAGTTGAAAACGGAAGACCAAACTGTGTTTTTGCCATATTTTACTGTTTTATTTCTGTAAAGGAAAGAATGTATGTCAAGCTTGCGAAAAGTCGCATAAAGTTTATGATGACAATGCTCTACAAGAATGTCAATACTAAGGGTGGTTCATAAAATTCCATGCTGGTAATTTTTTATTTCAATGACGCTCCTTGGTCACGGAAGCCTAGTGAGATTGATGAAGACAAAATAAAGGCATTGATTGAGTCTACCCATGTTACATGACACAAAAGATTGCAGAAACATTGAACATTCCTTATTCAAGTGTTCATGACCTCCTAAGAAGCTGGGATACATAAGCTCAATATTTAGATTCTTTTTTTTTTTTTTTTTTCAGAGAGGTTTTTTTCGCTTTAGGGTGCGTGCGCTCGCCAGACAGACGGAGACATAGAGACAGAAAGTGAGAAATCAGCCCCCAGAGAGAATGGCCATGCCACAATCCCTTCTCCTCCATTCTCCTCTCGGGATCTTGGGCACGCACGCCCGAGCGTGAGTTAAAGCCACCGCGTCTGGGATTCAAACCGCGGTTGACTACGTGGGAGTCCAGAGACATAGCCATTACGCTAACTGCTGGTTCCCAATATTTAGATTCTTCATGAACTCAGAAGTTCATTTCATGGCACATGTAGACATCTGTGATACATTCATTAAACTTGAGGAAAACAGTCTTCTTTTGAAGCAACTGATAATGGGTGATAAGAAGTGAGGTGTTTACAACAGTGTGGTGCATAAATGGTCTTGGTCCCAACGTAATGATTTGCCTCAAGTGTCGTTGAAAGCAGACATTCATCAGAGGAAGGTTATACTCTCAGTGTGGTGGGATTATAAAAGTATCATGTTTTTCAAGCTCCTACCAAAGAACCAGACAATCAATTTGAATGTGTACTTTCTGCAATTGGACAGTTTCAATGAACTGTCATCCAGAAATATTCAGACCTTGTTGATCCTACAGGAGTTGTGTTTCATCACAACACTGCAAGACCACACACAAGTTTGATCACCTGTCAAAAATTATTGGAGCTTGCAGGACTAGCAGTTGTGTAATGGATATGTCACTGGACTCCCATGTAGTCGACCGCAGTTCAAGTCCCAGACCCAGTGGCTTAAACTCACTCTAGGGATGTGTGCATGCATACCTAGAATCCCGAGAGGAAAATAGAGGAGAAGGGATAGGGGTGTGGCCATCCCCCCGGGGGGTGATTTCTTGCTTTCTATCTCCTTGTCTCTCTCTGTCTTTCTGGCAAGTGCAAGCGCCCTGTAGTATAAGAAAATCCCCCCCCCCAAATAAATTATTGGAGCTTAGATGGGGTGTGTTGCCACACCTACCATACTTGCTTGTACTTGTGCCATCAGACTTCCACTTGCTTTGCTCTCTTCAAAACTCCTTACGTGGTATAAAGTTCAATTCAGATGAGGCTGTAAGTCAGCACCTTGTTTAGTTTTTTGCCGATAAAGACAGGTCCTATAACAAGCAATTATGAAGCTCGCTGAAAGATGGCAAAAGGTTGAACAAAATGGGTCATATATTATTGAATGCTCTTTGTTGTTTATGTGAATAAATAACCTTTGAAAAACATGAAAAAATACATCATGACTTTTTCAACAACCTAGTACGTCCTACCAGCGAAGTATTAGGGTGCTAATTTCTCCACATCCTCACCATTTGTTACTGTTCATCCTTTTGATTTTTAGCATCCTAAGTGGATGTGAAGTGGTATCTATTGTGCTTTTGATTTGCATTTCCCTAATGACTAATGATGTCAAACATTTTCATGTGCTTTTTGCTATTTTTATATCAAGATCATTCTCTGTAGATTTTTTTTTCCCTTGAGTTTCACTCATATGTTGCATACTGGATTATACCAGGACATTGTGAGTCCTATGTGGCAGAAAATCTGGATGTTCCTCCAAGAGTTTGCATATTTTAGTTTTAGTAGGCAGTAACCTTGTCTGAACTCTTATATTTTCCTGTGATGAGTATAACATCTGAACTCTCATTTCTTTTATCCTTTGCTGAGCTCCTTGGAATCTTTCTTGATTTGGGGAGCATTTATACAGATTAAGAAAATTGGGGCTCCTCTCTGTACCTCTCTTATCTGGTATTGCCTTCTTCACTTAACAGCTGTTATGGTCGCCCTAAATTCTGACCTTGAACCAGTAAGACAATGGGTTTCTAACTTTTTTTAAATGTACCACCCAAAGCTGTAAACAATGAGAAATTCACTATTCTTTCAAGTGTCAGTTCCCTTTCCGTATCTACATGCTTTGTGTGCAAGCGTGGTTTTTAAGGTTTTCCCCATAGGTTTTATGCACTTGCTGGAGAGAGGCAGAGATAGACAAAGAGAGGGAAAGTGAGAAATTACCCCTCTAGCAGGGATGGCTATGCTACAATCTTTTTTCTCCTCTATTCTTCTCCTGGGATTTTGGGAGTTTGGAAACACATACACATGTACCAAGTGTGATTTTCAAGTCGCCAGGTCTGAGACTTGAACTGCAGCTAGCAATGTGGGAGTCCAGTGCATTAACTACTATGCCACCTGATGGCCCTCTACCTGCTTTCTGTCTACTCTCCAATGACTCCAGTAGGAAATGTATATGTGTGTGTATGTATATAAATATAAATATAAATATGTATAAAATAGTCTAATAGGGTGTGTGTGTGTGTGTGTATAAATGTACAAACTAGAATTTACAGTCATTATGTTGGATACGGTTGGTCTGAAAGTAGCTATTCGGCCATTACCAGAAGCATATCCTTCCTCTCTGTTTATCTTTGTTAACTTCTTTCATTAAGTGGTGTAGAAATTTCTTCCCAATGGTTGGTTAAATGATCAATAGTTACCTTTAGATTTTTTCACAAATATTTTTTAATATTTATTTTTCTCAGTATAAATTATACGTATACGATTTTTGGAGGGTAGCAGGTAAAATCTTTACTGTTGATCTTCAGACATGAAGAATCATTACTTTTGATTTTTGGAATTTAAAAATGTTTCTAGGCCAAATTATTTCTGGATTTCTGGTTTTTTTCTTCCCATATATTTAATGACTCTAGAAATAGGATTTTGGTTTACATTGATACCTTTTGGAAACTTAGCAAACTTATTTTTTATATAATTTTATGTACAATTTTACTTGCCAGGAAGTAAAAGAAGAAGTTTAGGTATGTTATAAAACTTGTTATAGGAAAAATATAAATACTGTAAATGACTACAGGTGTGTTTGAACTTAATTCATTTCACTATAGTAATAATTTTATAATGATTATGTCAGTTATCTTCTTTGAGGCCACCATGATTATGAGGATAAGAGGAAATTTGTGTTTTACTCTAAGTTCTATGCTACTAGAAATTGCCTATTCCCTACTTTAAAATGTCTTCATCGAACATGAAAATGCACCAGGGTGGGTTTATAGTGGAACAAATAAATGGGATATGTAAAGAGCTATCCATATGATATTCTTCCTTTTTTTAAGAAAAAAGTATATTTTTCAAAGTATTTTTAAAATATATGTATATATTTTTAAAAAGTATATTTATTTCTTCCATGAATAAGAGAGAGAAGTAGACAGCATTCCTTACAAGGTCATGATGCCCCAGCCTTAGCCAGCCCCAGATCATGGGAACACGCATGCCTGGTATACTTAGGGAGGTCTTCAGACACGAATCTAGAACCTTCCCATGTAGATCAACCTCACAGAGCATCAGTTTTAGCTACATGTTGCTGTTCAGCAGCACCCCCCCCATACAATTTTCTTAGCAATTTTTATGAAACATAAAATAACCTCATTTCATTCTTACTTCCTTTTAGGGTTCCTTTAACTTCACATGATGATGATGATGATGATAAAGAGAAAATGCAGTATGATAATGATATATCAAAAACATCATCTGATATTATTTCTTCAATATCAACAAGACAACCTTTATCAACTCAGTATGATTCAGAAGTATTATTTCATAAAGAAAGTAATGAAAATATGTATTGTTTATATGATTCAGAAAATATCTCTTCTACAGTTGGTGTATTTCTCAAAGGTGAGATTGTTTCAAAAAATTCATCTTGAATATCAATATTAAATAGTTACAAAGTCATCAAATTTTCATGTGGGCAATGAAATATAAACACTAATAAGCTAGATCTCTTTTTTGTGGATTTGCTAACTTTTACTATTTAAGAACGGCTCATGAAAAATTTAATTTAAAAATAAATATGCTGGGACCAGCAGATGGCATAATGATTATGTTGCTGGACTCCCATGTAGTTGACAGTGGTTTGAGTCCTGGACCCAGTGACATAAAACTCACACCAGGCATGTGTGTGTGCATGCCTGCCCAAAATCCCAAGAAGAGAATGGAGAAGGGATTGTGTCATGGCCACCCCCACTGGGGGGTGAGTTCTCACTTTCTGTCTTTGTTTCTGTCTTGCCAGCAAGTGCATGTACTCTATAGCAAAAATCTCTCTAAAAAAAAAAAAAAACAGTGAATATGCTAACTGCAGTGTTTTGAAATAAGCAGACCTAAAGAGCCTTTCTTGATATCTTAGTTTGTGATTTGAAAAATATCATATATTTATTTAGATTCACCTTCTTCTTTTTATAAATATGAAAATTAGGGGCCTAAATATTAATATTAGGTTTTCATGATATACTTTTCTGTGTTTTTCTGTGCAAAAATGTGGCATGACTTTCTTGATGACCCAATAGATATAGTGATTTTTTTTCAAGAATATTACCAATTATAAGTAAAGAAAAACTTGGGCCTGGTTAATTATTTAGCAAGAAACAATGATGGCACTTACATTTTATTTACATAGTGTTTCTAAAGTTAGTCCTGTGGTACTTATGTCATTTGTCATAGATTTTCAGATTGAGATATGGAACTGTAACTACATCGAATTTAGAGCTTAGAATTATTTTCCATTCTAAGGATTTATATATATGCGTGTGTGTGTGTGTGTGTGTGTGTGTGTACATATATTTTATATGTATATGTGCATGCATGTAAATAAGATTTGCATAAATTTTAGCTGCCTCCTGATATGATAGCCTTTTGATAGTAATCTTTATCAGAGTTACTACTATTATTGGAGTTTATTTGCTGGCTTTCTTTCACTCTAGAAATATATATTAATGACTGTACTTTTGGCTATACTCCACTCTGCTGCTGGGGCTGAAACAAATTGAATTGTCAGTATATATTTTTAATAGATACAAATGTAAAATGTGACTTATGAATGCTCTGATCATTTCTAATTTATTTTTTATATCAGCCTAGATTCTTAGTGATATAAAGATATAAACAGAGTACATTATCCAAAATTCTGTGAAACTGCTCAATTTCTCATCTAATTTATTTAAAATAACTCACTACTTATTTTATTACTTATTTCTGAATGTCGTTTTTTTTTTTTTATTTTATAGAAAGCCATTTCTACTCAGATCAAAGTTCCAAGAGTTCTCTAATGGATGAGATAAGAAATGCCCCATTTATTAGCCCCAGAACGGAGAAACTGTCTTCTAGTAAAGTAACTGAAAGAAAGAAGCGTGTGTCATTTTCGGAGTCAAATAATCCTTCTACAGACACTCCCTGTGTGACAGATATAGATCATCAATGGATTTCAACTCCACTTCTAAATTGGGATAATGGGATAAATTATCATACCAGTGAAACAAATGCTAAAATGCAAGGAAATAGCCAGTACTTGCCTGGCTTAGCTCCTGCATCTGGTAGTGAACCTAGTGCAGAGTGCATGAATCAAGTTCAGGATAATGATGACTTTCAAGCCCAGAAAACTGTGTATGATGCTGACATGGATTTAACTGCTAGTGAAACAAGCAAAATTTTTTCAACAGGTAATAAAAATAGAAGTAACACAAAACCAAATGATTGTGGAAAGAAAACTTTAAGAAAAGTGAAAGATCCAAGCTCTGAAAAAAAAAGAGAAAAATTAAAGAGACAGGTTAAAAATAGTTCAGCTGTAGATATTGAGGAAAAGATTGAAAATGGACCAGAAAGAGAATCTTTTGGCCAGGATGACAAAAAGGATTCAGAAGATCCAACTTTTATTGTCAATACTGAACAGCTGACACAGATGAATATACTGAAAAAAATAACTCCTCCTAATGACTTTGATCAAGATGATGGACAAAATACACAGTTTAATAAAAAGAAGAAAAGGAAACACATAACCAGTGAGCAAGAGGAAGCATGCTCTTTCTTCCAAAGTTCAGATAAATTCCAACAGAAGAGTAAATTTGATTTGGGTCAGAATTCCCTAACCTGTAATGAAAGTAAAGCTTCTAGACAGACATTTGTGATTCATAAGTTAGAAAAAGATAATTTATTCCCAAATCATATGGATAAAGAAGTCATTTCTGAAAACTTAGAAGTCACAGGTGAATTTCAAACAACTGATTTTTCCACTAGAGATAATGGAAATTTATATGAGACCCAGAGTATACTGGATTTGAAAAAGTATGTCACTGATTCACAACCTGCTGAGCAAAATGAGTCAAAAATAAATAAGAAGCTTAGGCAGAAAGTAAATCGGAAGACAGAAATAATTTCTGAAATGAACCATGTGTATGAAGATAATGATAAAGACATGCATGACTCAGCAAAAGTTAACTTTTTCATCCAAGCCCAGGACGATAAAGAAACCATTTCAGAAAACCTAGAGTTTTCTAAAGAGTTTCAAATACCTACTCTTTTCACTAGTGATACTGGAAACCTATGTGATTACCAAGTCCAGAATATGTTGAGTTTGCAAGAGCAGATCACCAGTGTGTACCCTGTTCAGCAAAATGAATCAAAAGTTAATAAGCTTAGGCAGAAAATAAATCGGAAGACAGAAATAATTTCTGAAGTAAATCATTTAGATAATGACAAAAGCGTACATTGCCCAGAAAAAGATAACTCTTTTCTACTAACCCAAAAAGATAAAGAAATCACCCCTGGAAACCTAGAAGACTCAAATGACTTTCAAATATCTGCCCTTTCTACTAAAGAGCGTAGAAACCTATGTGAGTATAAGACTCAAAATGTTTTGGGGATGAAAAAGCATGTCTATGATATGCAACCTGCTTGTCAGAATGATTCAAAAATAGATAAGAAACTTAGACAAAAGGTAAATCGAAAGACCGAAATAATTTCTGAGATTAACCGAATATATGACAATGATGATGAAGCTGTACATGACCTAGAGAAAGGGGACTTCTTTTCTGTAACCCCAAAGGATAAAGAAACCATTTCTGAAATCTTACAAGTCACAAATGAATTTCAAACAGCAGATCATCCCACCAAAGATAATGGAAATTTATGTGTTTATGATTCCCAGAATATGTTGGATTTGAAAAAGTGTATCACTGATCCACACCCTGCTGAGCAAAATGAAATAAAAATAAGTAAGAAGCTTAGGCAGAAAGCAAATCGGAAGACAGAAATAATTTCTGAAACGAAACATTTATGTGACGATAGTGATAAAGATGTCCATGACCAAGAAAGCTTTGTAAAAAATCTTGATTTTAAAAAACGCAAATCTAAACAAAAACTTGAATGGCAAGGGATTACCAGTAGATACAGTATGGAAATCAACAATAATGAAAAGGAAAATTGGGATGAAATTTCTGATTCTTACAAACTAATTAAAAAGAATAGGAAGGAGTCATCAGGCAAGGCAAAAACCATTCTGACAAAAGGTAAAAACAAACCTATTTCACAGCTAACAGATTCTTTTCAGACATCCCTTTCCTTAGAATCTAGTTTAAAACATATTAGTAATGAGGCAGATTCTCATTCTGGAAACCAAATTGAACTACATAAGAATGAGAAGCAAAGCGCTACAATGCTGAATAAACAAGGAGATATCCCCTTTGTGGAAGTGATAACAGAAGGAGAGGGCCAGGTCAAAAAAGTAAAAAAAAAGACGTCCAAATCAATGAAAAGGAAGACAGCTGTAAATCCTTCTCCAGATATCCATTCAGTTATGGACATAATTCCTGATCCCATTCAGGGAAAGTCAGCTGACTCTGAACAAGCTGATAAGGAAAACAATCTGGAGAATGAGGAGATTGTTAAAAATTAAGCCTGACTTTTACTCAAAGGTGTTTACATCTTTATCTCAGATGTATTCACCTAATACGCAAGATTCTTCCTTCCATGTTCATGAAGGTTCAATACCTTTGAGTATTTCTTCTAGTGAAAAGCTGATGATCAAAGAAAATTTTGCCCTGGAGAGCTCACCAGTCTTTCAAGTAAGTGATGATGCGCATGAGAAGATGAAAGAGATGACATTTAAAGTCAACCAGAGAACACAAAAATCAGGAATAGGTAGGTCAATAACCTGAGGTGATAAAGTATTAGAAATGTATTTTTTCCCACTTAACTAGTATTTTCTGTTATAACTGACATATTTATGGAATTTAAAAACAACACATAGTTGTGTAGCATGATCTACAGAAACAACATGTAGGAATGTAAAGAAAGTTTAATACTTAGTGGAGATAATACTTTGGACATTTATTTATGTATTTATTTATTTATTTTGGAGAGGTTTTTGCTATAGGGCATATGCACTCACCGGAAAGACAGAGACAGAAAGACAGAAAGCGAGAAATCACCCCCCAGGGGGAATGGCCACACCGCAATCCCTTCTCCTCCATTCTCCTTTCGGGATCTTGGGCACGCATGCACATGCGCCCCATGTGAGTTTAAGCCACCGGGTCTGAGACTCGAACCATGGTCGACTACATGGGAGTCTAGCGACATAGCCATTATGCCAACTGCTGGTCCCTATTTTGGTCATTTATAACCTAGAATACTGACTTCATCTTTACCACAAATTTGTCTCATAATAGCCTTAGATAATTTCCCTTTTCATATGTTTAAAGAGAATTATGTGTTTTTAATGTATGTAGTAATGAATTGTACTGGTTTCATTTTACCAAAAACAGTGTCCAAGTTTTATCTTTTTTTATAGAGATCTTTTGCTAAAGGGCACATGCGCTCGCTGGAGAGACAGAGAAAGACTGAGAGACAGTGAGAAGACAACACCCCAGCGGGGATGGCCACATCACAATCCCTTCTACATTCTCCTCTCGGGATTTTGGGCACACACACATGTACCTGGCGTGAGTTTCAAGCCTTCGGGTCAGGTACTCAAAACATAGTCGACCATATGGGAGTCTAGCAATGTAACAGTCATGCCATCGGCTGGTCTCCAATTTCCAGGGTTTTTAGGGGTGGAATTTCTTTTTTTTGGAGAGGTTTTTTGCTATATAGGGTGTGTGCGTTCACCAGAAAGAGACAGAGACAGAAAGTGAGAAATCACCCCACAGGGAGGATGGCTATGCCACAATCCCTTCTCCATTCTCCTCCTGGTATCTTGGGCACACACGCACATGTGCCTGGCGTGAGTTTAAACCACCGGGTCCAGGACTCGAACCATGGTTGACTACATAGGAGTCCACTGATACAGCCTTTACACCAACTGCTGGTCCCTTAAGGGTGGAATTTCTCCATTCAACAGTATGTATTTAATGAAATCAAAGCATTTTAGATGTTATAGAGGATTAAAAAATATTAGCTCCCTTTCCTCAGAGTACATGTATGTAAAACTAACAAACTAGTGATGATATATGGTAAACAATTCTTTAATATAAACATACATTATGCTTATGGATGTAATGGGGAGTAATTTGGTCCAGAGGAATCTATAAAGGCATTTAAGTATGGTGGTATTTTAGGCCCTAAAGGGTAAGATTTTTACCTTTAGTGTTTACCTTTTTAAAACCCAGTTATTAAAATAATACAGAAAATTGAAAGTAGAGCATCAGGGAAAAGGAGGAGAATAAAATCACCTGGGAGAACTGTAGTCAGCATTTTACCATATGCATGCACACTTGAACCAATGGATTTTTAAATATATATGTATGTGGGAGCTACTGGGATCCTAACATTTTTGTACATCTACTTAGAGCACTAAGATTTGGTGAATAAGACTGGTAGGTTAAAGGCACACTGAGGTGGAAGTTCAGAAGTCTGCAGTTGTAGGATATGTTAGGAGACTAGTGAGCCATTTCCCGTCTCTGCACCCCTCGTATTTTCACAGATGGAACTATGAAAGAATGAATTTGTGTGCTTCGGTGAAAGAGTTGAACTAAGGGGTTTTTGTCAGCCTGTATATGGTTTTGGAATAAAAGGTTGCAGGCAGCTTTGATTGTTTTGAATTTTAATTTCTTTCTCTGAAAACTGAATACATTTTAAAATGTGCTGTAGTGATTCGCAAACCTCTGTCAATTTCATATCTATTTTCATCTGTATATATTAAGTCTTCGGGAAAGTCATGACCTATTTTTCCATGTTTTTCTATGCAGAAATGTGTCATAACTTTACCAACAACCCCGTCCTTATACAAATATTTGTGGAAAAAAATTCTCTTTCAGATAATATGCCATTACAAGACTTGACAAATACATCTGAAAATAAATCAGAAGATCTATCTTCAGAGCTCCCAAGCAGAAGAAGAAGGTGCACTCCGCTCAGTTTAAAAGAGCCAAGCTTAAAAGGGTAAGTATTTCATGATATTAAGGTAATTTGTATATGCTACTATAAAAAAATCACTAACCGAATTTGTATTTGAACACTTCTGAATATCAGCATGTTTTGTTGACATGTACCAACAACACTATGATTTTAATAAGATTTGAAAAAATGTATTCTTTGAACAGACTTTGTTTATTTGGTATCTGGATTTAAATTTATTTAGTTTTATTTGGTTCCCAGTTCTAATGTCATTTTAAAAATTTTGACTTGATAAATATAATTTTAAAATTTGTTGGCTTTGATTTGCAGACTACTTTTTTTTAATATCTATTTCTCCAATTTATTTTCTGTCTTATTCTCCAGAAGAATTCAAAGTAGTTTTATATGTTCTTTGCTCTCAGAGTAACATTCTTTTTTAAAAATTTCTGTAAATTCTTTTTTTTCTTTTTGTTTTGTTTTGTTTTGGAGAGGTTTTTTTGCTATAGTGCATGTACTCACCTGAAAGACAGAGAGAGACAGAAAGACAGAAAGTGAGAAATCACCCCCCTCCCGGGGGTGGGGGATGGCCACACTGCAATCCCTTCTCCTCCATTCTCCTCTCAGGATCTCATGTATGTACGCGCACGCGCCAGTGTGAGTTTAAGCCACTGGGTCCGGGACTCAAACTATGGGTCAGCTATGTGGGAGTCAATCGACATAGCCTCTATACCAACTGCTGGTCCCTGCTTTCTGTAAATTCTAATCATATCCCAACAAAAAGAGAATAGTACCCTCCTCTAATTTGCCATTCCTCAGGCTCAGCATTTATCAACATTTTGCTATATTTGTTTCATCTATCCTTTTTTGTTGTATTTTTAAAACAAATTCCAAAACTGTCATGTGATTTCTAAAACGCTCTTTATGTGTCCTTAAAAAAGAACTTCATAACAAAATTCTTAACGAAACTAGACAATAATGATCATATCTGACAAAAGATGGTTTTGATAGGTATTTTATTTTATTTTATTTATTTATTTTTTGGAGAGGTTTTTCCGCTATAGGGTGTGTGCGCTCGCCAGACAGACAGAGAGACATAGAGACAGAAAGAGAGAAATCATCCCCCAGGGGGGATGGCCACGCTGCAATCCCTTCTCCTCCATTCTCCTCTCGGGATCTTGGGCATGCATGCACACGTGCCCGGCATGAATTTTAAGCCACCGGGTCCCGGACGCGAACCGCAGTTGACTACATGGGAGTCCAGCGACATAGCCATTACGCTAACTGCTGGTTTCCTGGTTTTGATAGGTATTTTAAAACATCAGCAGATGGCAGTAATACAAGAAAAGGTGAAAGATGCAAATTAAGAATGAAATAAAGGGCTAAAGGACTTTTTAAAAAAAAGATAGAAGAGGGACCAGCAGTAAGCTTAATGGCTATGTCACTGGACTCCCATATAGTCGACCGTGGTTCGCATCTCGGACCTGGTGGCTTAAAACTCATGCCAGGTGTGTGTGCGTGCGTGCCCAAGATCCCGAGAGGAGAATGGAGGAGAAGGGATTGCAGCGTGGCCATTTCCCCTGGGGGGTGATTTCTTGCTTTCTTTCTCTGTATCTCTCTCTCTCTCTCTCTCTCTCTCTCTCTCTGTCTGGCGAGTGCACGCACCCTATAGCAAAAAACTCTCAAAAAAAAAAAAGATAAAAGATACCTGTTTATTAAGATATAGTTCACATACTATATATCTCACCCATTTAAAGTGCACAATCCAGCGGTTTTTACTATATTCACAGATGTCCACCACCACCACAGTCAATTTTAGAACTTTTCTTCACCTTGAAAAGAAACCTTTTACCCTATAGGTTTCTCTTCCCTAGTCCCCAACTTTAGGCAGCCAACCTCTCATCTACTTCATGTATGTATGTATGTGTGTATATATATATATATATGTCTCTATTCTAGACATTTTATGTGAATGGAATTATAAAATGTGGTCTTTGTGACTGGCTTCTTTCACTTAGCATGTTTTCAAGGTTCATCCATGTCATAGCATGTATCAATAATTAATTCCTTCTTTTTACAACTGAGTAATATTCTGTTTCATAGATTTACCACATTGTGTTTATCCATTTGTCTCTTGGTGGACATTTGGGTTATTTCTGTCTTTTGGCTATTACAATAATAATAATATAGTTTGCTCCTATAGACATTAGTGTGTACATGTTTTTATTTCCTTGGTTATACACCTGGGAGTGGAATTGCTGGGTCATATAACACTATATTTAATCATTTGAGGATCTGTCGGGCTATTTTCCAATGCTGCTACACCATTTTGCATCCTCTCTACTAGTATATAAGGTTTTGATTTCTCTTTTTCCTTACCGATGCTTTATTTATGTGACTTCGTTGTTTAAAGAGTTCTTTTTTTCCCTCCCATTAGAGAGGGAGACAGAAAGAGAAAAACACCCATCCAGGCATCCCCCTGTGGGGCATTCGTGCTATAGTTCATTCTCAGCCTCGGCTGTCCTGGATCACAGGGATGTTATGTGTGTACCTGGAGTGCATAAAGAGACCTCAGGACAGAACTGAGGCTTTCCCACGTGACCTCAGCATTGCAGAGCATTGCGTTACTGCTCTGTCACTGTAGCTGGCCTTATTTACAACTTCTTGATTCTAACCGTCTTAGTGGCTGGGACTACATTTTTTTTTTTTTTTTATTTTTTTTTTTTTTTTTTTTTTTAGTTTTTTTGTCATAGGACCCATGCACTCACCTGAGAGAAACAGCAACAGATAGAGAGAAAATGAAAAATCATTCCTCAGGGGGAATGGTCATGCTGTGATCCTTCTCTATTCTCATCTAGGGATTTGGGGCATGCATGTACACATGCCTAGTGCGATTTTTTAAGCTATCAGGTCAGGACGGTTGACTACATCAGAGTCCAGCGACATAGCCATTACGCTAACTGCTGGTCCCTAGTGTCTGTGACTAGTGATATTCATCTTTCATGTGCTTATTGGTCATTTGTCCATATTCCTTGGAGAAATGCCTGTTCAGATCCTTTGTCCTTTTTCAATTAGGTTGTTTTTTTATTGAGTTGCAGGTTAAACTTTTCTGAGTTCATTTTTGACTTCCTGCAAAGTTGTAAAAAATAGTATGTTTTCCACCATGGTCTTCTCACCCAGCCATTCCTAATTTTAACATCTTAGATACCCTGAGTACAATTATCAAACATAGAAAATTAGAATTGGGGCGTGCTATTAACTATTAAACGTAGACCTCCAGTAGCATCCTCTTCTGTTTTAGAATCCTATCCAGAGTCCCACATTGTATTTAGGCTTTTGTTTTGTTTTGTTTTCCATTTGTATCCTCCAACCTATGATAGTTTCTTAGTTTTTCCTTTTCTTTCATGCCTTTGACATCTTTAAGACTACTGGTCAGTTATTTTGTAGAATATTCCTCAATTTGGGCTTTTCTCATATTTTCTTATGATTAAAATGTGGTTATGTAGGACCAGCACATGGCATAATGGTTATGTCACTGGACTCCCATGTAGTTGACCATGGGTTAGGTCCTGGACTGGGCATCTTAAAACTCACGCCAGGTGCGTGTGCATGCATGCCAAAAATCTCAAGAGGAGAATGGAGAAGGGATTGCAGTATGGCCTTCCCCCCGGGGTGTGATTTCTTGCTTTCTGTCTTTCTGTCTCTGGTGAGCACATGTGCCCTGTAGAAAAATATCACTCTCTCTACAAAAAAAAAAAAAGAAAAGAAAAAAAGTGCTTACCCATTTTTGGCAAAAATGCCACATAAACAATATATCTTTCTCATGGAATCATACCAAAGATTTATTATGTCTGTATGTCTCATTATTAGTAATATTAACTTTGATCACTTGGCCAAGATGGTGTCAGGTTTTTTTCACTGTAAAGTTACTGTCTTTTACAGTTAATGAGAATTGGGGGAAATACTTTGAGTTGATGTATCCTGTTTCTCAAACTTTCACCTGCTAAAATATTAGCATCAGTCAGAGAATCCTGCCTACAACAATTACTACTGTGGCTTTTGCCTAATAGTCATTTTTCTATTTTTCTCTTTAGCTCTATTTTCCTATATTAATTGAAATTTTATTTAATTATTTTATTTTATCTTATCTTTTATTTTTTTGCTGTAGGGAATGTGTGCTTGTTAGAGAGACAGAAAGCGAGAAATCATCCCCCAGGAAGGATGACCACACCACAATCCCTTCTCTTCTACTCTTCTCCCGGGATTTTGGGCACATACGCACATGCTCCTTGCATGAGTTTCAAGTCTCAGGGTCCAGAACTCAAATTGGGGTCCACTACATGGGAATACAGCAATGTAACCATTATGCTATCTGCTGGTCCCTATTAGAATTCTTCTTAAGGAATGATTTCTTCCCCTTACTTAAATTTCTTCATTTAGATTTATTTATTTATATCAGTGTGAGCTCGTGGCTATCTTCTTTATTCTGTAGATAAAAATCTTGGGGCCAGCAGGTGATGTGATGGTTAAGGTGCTAGATTCCCACAGGACTGACTGCAGTTCAAGTCCCAGACCTGGTGGTGTGAAAATGACAATAAGTAGATAGATAAATAAATAAATGTATGTATATATGCTTGGGGCCAACAAGTGGCATGATGGTTAAGGTGCTGGATTCTTGCATGCCTGGCCATGGTTCAAGTATTGGACCCGGTGGCTTGCTTTCTCACTTTCTCTCTTTCTCTCTCTCTCTCTCTGTCTTTCTCTGGTGAGTAAATTCAAACAAACTAATAATAGTAAATAAAACTAAATAAATAATTCTTTTTCAAAACTTTTAGTACTAAGGCCAGCAAGTAGCATAGTGGTTAAGGCACTGAACTCCCACATAGCTGACCATTGTTTGAGTCCTGGACCTGGCAGCTTGAAAATCATGCCAGGCATGTGTACATGTGTGCACAAAGTCCCAAGAAGAGAATGGAGAAGAAGGAATTGAGTGTAACCATCCCCCTCAAGGGTGATTTCTCACTTTCTTCTCACTGTTTCTTTCTTGA